CAAATGCAATCTTACAGTGCTACTTCATCTGTAGGCTATCCGATTTCGAATGAGCAGAAATCTTTTCATCCTTCACAAACAAAATGTGCACTGCAAAAAGCGCCAAATTATACCTTTTAAGGCTGACAACAACCATGTTATTAGCTTGTAATGTGGTAGGAAAAAGTTTGCACACTACTGCTCCAATAAGCCACTTTGAAACTATCCTGTTATTTTATTTATTTTTTTCTTTTAATATACGTTATGAACAGAACTGTGATATTTCAAATTCAAACATACTGAAATACTTTAGAGGCGGAGCAGTGTTTCTGATATCAGTGAGCGCGGAGTGGAGCGGGAGCGGGAAATGGTGAACCCGGAGCGGAGCGGAGTGATTATTGAATGCTTGGAGCGCGGAGGGAAAATTGTTGCCGCTCCACTCCGCTCACATAATCTGGTTCAGAATGGGCTTGTGACTCATATTAACTTACAGTACGATCTTCCTGTAACATTAATCACCCACATGTGAGCTCCTATGAAACATGCACATTTAAAAACTGCTCTGTTAAAGGGTTAGTTCACCCAAAAATGAAAATTAACTTGTGTTTTACTTACCCTCGAAGCATCTTAGGTGTATATGACTTTCTTCTTTCAAAAGAATCCAGTCGGAGTTATATAAAAAATTGTCCTTGCTCTTCCAAGCTTTATCATTGCAGTCAGCGGGTGTTGCAGTTGAACAGTCCACAAGTCGTCAAATAAAGCTCGCACTTTCATAATAAACGTGCTTCACACGGCTCCGGGGTGGTGAATAAAGACCTTCTGTAGCGAATCCATGAGTTTTTGTAAGAAAAATATCCATATTTCAAACGTAATAAACACTTTTCTCTCACTTCCGTTATCTGTCATACGCGGATCCGTTCCGGCGGAAGGCCAGACGTATGCGCAGCGCGCGCGCCTCTGAGATATGCTAGTCTCACGAGTTTGTTTAATAGGAGCAAAGGAAGCAAAGTTTCCTTAATTTAGCAAAGGAAAACCAGTCTCCTCTTGGTTTATATCAAAATCCTCCGACATTTTTCTTTGCAAATCTTCGGTTTGTACTTCTAATTATGCAATCTTACAGTGCTACTTCATCTGTAGGCTATCCGATTTCGAATGAGCAGAAATCTTTTCATCCTTCACAAACAAAATGTGCACTGCAAAAAGCGCCAAATTATACCTTTTAAGGCTGACAACAACCATGTTATTAGCTTGTAATGTGGTAGGAAAAAGTTTGCACACTACTGCTCCAATAAGCCACTTTGAAACTATCCTGTTATTTTATTTATTTTTTTCTTTTAATATACGTTATGAACAGAACTGTGATATTTCAAATTCAAACATACTGAAATACTTTAGAGGCGGAGCAGTGTTTCTGATATCAGTGAGCGCGGAGTGGAGCGGGAGCGGGAAATGGTGAACCCGGAGCGGAGCG